ACACTGATATTAGAATAATCATAGATGATGCTCACTTCAACCCAGTTGAAGCCCATTAACTACAAACTGATCTTAAACCACTCGTTGACCGGATGTAAAGAACTGCTTTGAAATTATTTGTAAAACTTCTGAGATGTGATAGTTTTTGGTCGACAAATATATCTGCTCAGATTTTAAAATTTTAAAGATTTTAAATTTAGATTATTAAAATTATAATCTTTAAAATTTTAAATTATAGATTTTAAAGCTCAGATTTTAAATTTTAGCAAAAGAATTAGCAGTCAGATTTGATCTGCCTGTCTTTAATAGAAACCCACTGTTTAAGTCATCAGTCTATCGGAGAAATATCAATACAGTCAACTGTAGGTCAAGATTCCCATAAGAAACATGCTTCAGATACAGAGCTTAAGATGGCTACTCTTGCTATGCTTTATGACAGACTACTCTGCAAACTGGCTGCGTGCTTACGAGGATAAACCTGTTGTGGATGACATCAAAAATGCTTGACCTGGGATACACTCAAACATTTTAATTTCAATTGAGCTCTTTGTAAATTCTGCAATAACTTTGGTTGTTGCTATTCCTTCAGCTGTAGAGAAAATTCTCAAGAGAATAGAGTTAAATATTGTTATTGTTGTAAATATTGTACCCTCAGGGCTACCATTGGGCATTTTCGTCTGTGTCCCTTGGTAAGAAATCGGTTTCTGTCAGTCATAATTTTATTGACTCTCTTTGGGAGGCGGACGATATATGTATTATTTTAGGAAGAAGTTCTCCTTGTTGGAAACTCTTATTCTCATGTTCCTTATTAGAAATCCCTGATCCCGGTAAGCTTCTTAAAAGCGTGAGTGCAATAATTTTCATCTCAGAACTGACCATGATTATTTTTAAAAAATATCTACATCGTATAGGACTAGTAAACTCACCAATATGCCCATTATGTGGTGTCCGCCGATAACATCGCGGCAAAAACATCGCGGACGAAAACGTCGCGGAGAAAACAACGCAAGGCGAAAACTCGTGCTACAAAACATCGTGGGAGAAATCATCGCAAAGAGAAAACATCGCAGTCCTAAAACATCGTGGTACAAAACATCGTCGTCGAAAATAAAGCGGTTCAAAAACTTCGCAGTTTAAAAACATCGTCGTCGAAAATATCGTGGTAAAAAATAAAGTATCTACAAATCATCGCTTGACGATAACATCGCAGACATGCTTTTTTCATACATGCTTTTCGCAAACATGCGTTAATAACTGTAAATGGATATTCCCATAATGATTTGTGAGCGCAAAATGGAAAGAAGGATAATTTTTACTTTCACAATTTTTTATTAACTAATACATTTTTTCTGAAAAAGTAAGAAGGAAACTTAAGCATAGCAAATTAATGCAACTTATAGCAATTAATAGAATTTTAAACCAACATAGTTAACTAACAAAGGCCATTAATAAATAATTTTTATAAAGTTTTTACTGGTAATTTTTCGTGAAAAGTATAATCTATAAGTTGCTTTTAATTTTCTATGCTTAAGTTTCCTTCTTACTTTTTCAGAAAAAATTTATTAGTTAATAAAAAATGTGAAAGTAAAAATTATTCTTCTTTACATTTTGCGCTCACAAATCTTTATGGGAATATTCATTTACAGTTATTAAAGCATGTATGGAAAAAGTATGTCTGCGATGTTATCGTCATGCGATGATTTGTAGATACTTTATTTTTTATCACGATATTTTCGACGACGATGTTTTTAAACTGCGAAGTTTTTGAACCGCTTTATTTTCGACAACGATGTTTTGTACCACGATGTTTTCGAACTGCGATGTTTTCTCTTTGCGATGTTTTCTCCCACGATGTTTTGTAGGACGACGTTTTCGCCTTGCGTTGTTTTCTCAGCGACGTTATCGTCCGCGATGTTTTTGCCGCGATGTTATCGGCTGTAACCCATTATGTGGCTTGGCTGACAGACTGGCGATTACCTTTAGAACTGCCCCGACCTTAATGGCGTTAGAGGCGGTAATTCTGTAGAAGATGTTAAAATAGTATTTCTCTCAAGACTTTATTGGGCTGACCAAAAAGGACTACTAGTTGAAAAGCCGAGGTCTGATGTAGGTAAAAGAATGTTTGCTAATTAATTAGGACACATTATAAATTAATGTTCTTTTCAAACTGAGTTTCATGTGGCGTGATAGTTAGACATGAGTACTACACTGGTACGATAGTTCTTAAAAAAATACTAAATGGCGCAAAGCAAATGCAATAATACAAAACAAACAGGACGTTTGTTTCGTCAGAAGCACAGGGATATTCTCAAAAAGCATTCTCTGTCACTGTAATTACTATAAGAAATGCTTTCATTTAGGAAATACTTTTTTTAGTAATTTGAATATTCATCCAAAAAGCTGAGAACTTTTCAAATTACTTCTGAGAAGTGAAGAAAGTGAAGGATTCATCAAATGTCGTTAACTGTTTCAATGTGCAATATTTAGTTTTGCATTCTTTAAAAAAACAGTGCTGCAGAGATTAATTTATCTAGCAGTCTTTCGTTTTGTTCACAGAAATAATATTTAAAATCCATAAATGTAGTTTTCTAAATATTTTTTATTTTATTCGCAGCTCGACTTAAACAAATGGAGAAAAGAGAACTATTGATATTGCAATACAGAATTTAAAACAAGAAATACATTATAGCATGTTTTAAAGTAGAAAACATAACTTCACTGTCGTTCGTAATGTTATATTAACTTATGAAATTGCTTTAGAAAACGCTTTAAATAATATTGGATTTGTCTAACCTGAAAAAAAACCAAGCTACTTAAATTACATTAAAAATACAACAATAGTTTTTACGTTGCACCATTAGATTTATTTAAGATCAAAAAATAAATTCTTGTAAATATGAGAATAAAATTCTGTTATTTATAAAAATTTATTCATAACTAAAACTTTTTTAAAAAGAACAAGGAAGAAGAGACATAATATGAAATGTAGGTCAATTTATATATGGAAAGGGTATTATTAATGTTCTTCGAGAAAATTAATGTACGAATAACGTCTGGATAAAAGCAACTAAAAAAATTCGGGCAGAAATATTTTTGAGAGTAACAAGTCTTTTCTATCATATTTTTTCCTTTAATTTCGAGAACGTTTTGCAAATTATGCGTTTTAAAATATAAATCGAAATGTTTTATGTTATCATTAGTTAAATTTAAATACATTTATAATTCCTTAATTTTCAGCACTTATAATTTGGAAACCGATTCTCATTCTGATCAAAAAGAGTTACTCTTCTGAGAAAAGAAATAATTTAAAATAATTTTTTTAACTTAGAAATCATTGTGTTTATATACTGTAAATCAAAACACAATAAAATAAAATTATATTATTAAAATGAAAACAACTCATATTTAAAGAATAATTCGGCGATATTTTTGCCCCCTCCCTTAAATGCAATGATTTGTTATACATAGTTGTATTTGTTCCAAAGGAAAAATAAACAGCAAAGAATAAACAAAAATGAAGAAAATTTCCTCTAATACTATCTTCCGCTCTGAAGTAAGCGATACAGGCATGCGATGATGAAAATATTTTGATGCGTACTGCATAAAATTTTATCAGAAATTTGGATTTTAATGATATACTAGGTCATTATTTTCTATAGAGTGTATCGTGTACATACTTAATATATACTATGTGTATTATCACACATTAATGCTACTTTTCTGTATCGTATATAATACTTACACACATATTTAATGAAATACTTACACACATATTTAATGAAATGCGAACATATATTTAATATGATAATACACATACTATAAATGTATCCCTAAATTTTCTTTTCTTGACGGCACCATATATATTTTGGGCCATTTTGTATTTTTATTTTGTGAAATGGGCTCGGAATTCTAAATTTCAAATCCTTTTTATACAATTTTAACAGACGTTTCCACTCACATAAGAACTCCGCAACAAACGTCCCTCAAACATTCCTAATCCTTCCCACGTCCCAAAAAAAGTTTCTCAAAAGTTTCACCGCCTGTAAAAATTCGAAGTAACCACACTGCCCATAACAAAATTTCGGACACACACCCCTTCTGAGTAAAACACAGAAGAAAACACTTTACCGACATCCCACTAGAAAGAACGCAAGTTAATTAATGCATTTTCTGGCCTTTTATATCTTCATGTACATTTCACATTTTACTTTCTTATTATATATATTTGAATTTTTCAACTTTTATTTGATTTGTTTTTTGCAAAGATAACATTGTTATGTTTCTTGTTTTTCTCAGGTTTATTTCAATTAGTTTGAGTTATATTTCATAATTCCAATTAAGATTACTACTGTTTATTATGTTTATTTTTATAAAAATACTCTTGAATTAACATGCATAAAAGCGAAGGTGTCGGGGGACATTTACTCAAGTATTTTGTAAATTTTACTACATAAATTGGCTTTTTACTCAAAATTTCTAAAGAATATTGTATTAGCGAAAATGCTTCATTCAGAATGCGTTCTTTGGTACTCTACTTTGATTATAAATCCCATCACTCACGGACTACAATTTTGACCTAACTTAATTTGCCAGTTTGGCATCATCATTCTTACTTGAATAAGAGACGAAACACCTTCGCATTTATTAATTATTGTTCATTGAACGGGAGTTGGTTTGTTCGCCTTGAAAAGTCGACTAATTTCCGATCAATAGCGGTAATTACTTGTTTTTTAATTTTTAATTTCTTTTTCAAAGTTTGAAATTTTGTTATTCATGACTTAAATTCAAGTCCCCGTAAAACGTTTTTTCATGATTTACATTCAAGTTACTTTAAAACACAATTTTCGGAATTAAACTTCCTACATATGGGTTCACTGTTTTTTTGATAAATTCTACTAAATTTATATTAGGAGATAATATAATCAATACTCCTTTAGTAAATAAATTATATATATATAGTAACATTAGAATATCATTAATTTTAGATTCTGTGTTTTCAGGTGAAGTGCTGTGATGTGATGGGAAGTAGCAGCCAACTGTACAGAGATGCAGCCGCAGCCTCCACAGAAACAAATGTGGAGAACGACACTACTGGAGTCACAGAAGGTATAAAAACTGTTCAATACTAAATTCATATACAAAACGCTTGAAATCTTAAATAGTACTGAAAGCACTTGAAAAACTGTTTTGTGTCTTTTAAAATTAGACAAAATTTCAACCCTGATTTGGACTAAATTTTGAATAAAATTACATCGATTTCGCGGTCGATTAGACACCGGTCGTCTTCAGAATCAAAAATACTTTGCAAAAATGGAGCAACAAATATTCCATAGTGAAATCAATAGGCGTGCAAATCAAAAACAAACATACTGCCATTTGCACCAGAAAATAGCAATGGAATGTCAAAAATAAGATATTTAAATTCTGGAAGCGTTACGAAGAACTAGATTATATTTAATGCCATTAACGAAGATATCGTTGCGTTTTTTACTGATACCAGTTGTTACGTTATTTTCTTCCTTCACGTTCGTACGAGGTTCGTAGAGTTGGAGTGAATAACGACGACACTTGATGAAGTATCGAAACACACTTTATTTAGACAATATTAATCAGGACAGCTCCTAAGTCACTTTTTACAGTCGTCGAAGATCTACTATAAACACGCGGGAAAAATCAGCGACACAGCCTTCAGACTATCAGGCAATAACGGTGGAGACAGCTTCACTGCAAAGCATCAGAGTACAGCTCCCAACTCTGCCTGGTCGTTCTTGGAACTCCACGTACTCTCGAGACTCTCCACGCTACAACTCGCGATGCACTCGACGACACACAGAGCACAGCTCCCGACTCTTCGGTTCAGTCATTCCCAGACACTCTCTCCACGTCATTAAAACACTCTCTCACGATGCACTAACCACGATACACTAAGAGACTCTTCGATGCACTTGACGACCCACTCGGCACTCGCTGCCCGGCTGTCAACTCGATCGACTCCGCACGGACTGACTAACTCGAGACTAACTATCTCGCTCTCTAGACGATGCACTAACTGACTGCGGACCAGCAGGGTTTATATAGCTTTTGGCTTGTGTTGGAGAACATTCTGGGCTAAACCTGTAAGAATTCGTTCCAGAAGGCTCTCCATCCGTCCATGGCATATCGCCAATTTTGTCGCCAAATGGGCGATTTCTTGCCAAATGTGACAACCCTGCCTTGCCTTGCCATTTTATGGCTTTGCGGGGAAGCTATCTCACCGCGTCTGTACATTTCGTAACAATATATTTCGATAAATGTAACCATTTCAAGGGAAATTCAGTCCTACAAAGGAAAAACCTTTATGGATAATTTTCGCATAACCAAAGTCAAAATTGTAATTAAATTCCCAAATAGAATCATCTATCGAAGATTTGTTTGTTTTCCGTTTAGAACAGGGTCTTGTTAGCTTGGCCGATATACGTCAGACTCATAAGAAATGTTATAAATTTCCCAAGAATTAAAATCAGAAAAAAAAAATCTTTAAGAATCTAACAACGAGTTTTGTGATAAATGAGAAAAATGTCCTGAAAGTTGAACTTTTGGATAAATCTAAGATATTTAGTAACTTTCAGAAGAATGACATGGTGTGACGACAATGTTACTATTGTTATTTCTAAAACTGAAATTTCTTTTTGATGGCAGAAAATGTTTGAAACGCTTTATTAATGGTCGGGGAAGAACAATCCTCTGTAAATAGCAACTAATTTCAAATAATTGAGTTCATAAGAAAACAATGATTCTGAAAAACTAACTATGAGAGAACAATTTTCACAAGCGAAAAAAGAAGCCATTTTTTTTTTTTTTTTAATAGGGTGACGTGACCTGGCACGGAAAGGCAAAGAAATCAAATTTATTATGGTTATTCGAATATCAAAGAATTTTTTGCTTCTAACGTATGACTTTGGAAAATTCTGATATTTCGTCAGTGGAGATTTGAATAAATATCTTCATATCCAAATATGATATAAATGCAGACGGAATACATTCGTCAAAAGGTCTAGGCAGAAAGATTAGATATCAGATTAATTTAGACAGTTTTATTGAGCTTAAGAATTTAACGTTAACGACCGAAAGATGCTGATAAACTTTGCTGATTAAGAACTATTTGCTTTTTCGTAATTTTCAACAAAATAGAAATATGAAAACCATAGCTTAAATTGCGCCTGAATCCACTGGATGCTGGCTATGGTACTTCTTAGTTTACGAGATAAATTATGATTTCAGCCGGAGCGCACCGGAGCCCTTATGCCTTAAAAATCAATTCTAACTTCTGAATGCAGGCTTGAATTTCCTTCGCAATCAAACCTTGCTCAGAGGTTGAGACTTTTAAGGAAAGAAAATCCCCCAATCATATGTCAAAGACTTATTCTCTAGGATATGCAATGAATTTATGACAGCGGGAAAATTGTGTGTTCCTTAAAGTACTAAAAGTGATCGTTCGCATTCCACGCTAGTGACTTCCTGTTGCAGAACTCTTGCAGGCTTTCTGAATGATATAATCAAACGGGGGGACGCTGCTGCTGTCACTTGTACAGAGAAGACTTATGTTTATTCTCACGCGTTGCTACCGAATCGTATTCAGAGAAAATTTCTCCTTGACGGCTAGAATTATATCGACAAGGCATCGCGATGAGAAAGTCTTGAACTCTTATCTCTTAATTTTCAAAACTACACTTTTCCTTGTAAGATTCTCTACTGCGAGCTTTAAGTTACTGTTAAATATGTAGAATCTTAAGAACTAGTAAGGGAATAATCGCTTGTGTTCGTGAGATAGTAATTAAACTTGGAAAGGGTTAAAAGACCCTTTATTATTCAAATAAGATTTAACAGAATTCCGTCTTGGAGTTACAATAAAGCCGACTCTCGGTCTTGAATTAGACTAAGAATTAAAACTTAACTAATTTTAACTAAAAAGATATAGCCGAAGCTATCAAGTTTCTAACGGAGTTGGCCCCTTAACGCTAATTTACTGCGAAGCTATCAAGGGCCTAAAGTACGGCCGAGCGTAATAATAGCTTAAGAGAGAGTACCTAAAAAGGCGGACGCGTGCTAGCCAGAATCTCTGGTTCTCTCTAAGACAGTAGAACTTCGCAGTTAAATACCGCTCTTCCTCAATTTGCATTCAAACGTGATTCTAAAACTACGTTCTAGCCGGAAGTGGTAAGTTGAAATTAAGAAGCGATAGGAAAAGAAGTTTAACTCAAAAATTTAGCTGTTAGATAAATAAATATGATTCTTACATCCTTTAAAATTTCCTTCCATATCCTCATACTGTGCCTAGAATTTTCATGATTTTTCTTGGTGGATTTTAAACGTTTTAGCTTTTTTCCTTGATGTGCTGAAAAAAAAAAAAAAAAAAAAAAAAAAAAAAAGTGGTACTGGTCATCTCTGGGAACAGTACATTATAATCAGTGTATAAATTCAGACCCAGATCGGCTGAGCTGCTTCTTAGCTTCTAAGTGGAATTGTAATTCCAGCCGATGCCCCAAATAAGAGAAGGTCCTATATCTTTTTTTCTTTTCTGTTTAACTATTTAAAATTAACTTAATGATTATTAGATTTCTCTTTACATTTCTCCTAATTTAAATTTAATTATTTTAATTTTTAGCTATTTTGTTTATTCACTTTTTTCCTTTCGTTCCTCACTTTCTTCCACAGGGCTCCGGCACTTCTAATTTTATAAATTAAGCACTGATGAAAACCCAATAGTTAAGCACCTATTACAATAAGCATTTCAAGACATTCTAAGGCGTGCAAAAGAACGGAAAGAGTTAACTGCTAGCTAGATAACTTTATTTCTCGAAATTCCTAATAGAAAATTTTAAAAAAAGGAATAAATAAATAAAAAACATTCATTTTCTGCGAAAATGTTGTTTTGGTAGTAAAACGTATTTAAAACAAATTACCAATAAATGTTCTAAACATCATGTTAAACTTAAATGTCGTTTGCAAGGACATGTAATTGTTTTAAACTTATAAAAATATTTATTAAGCGTTGCGTAATTTAGTACATAATTTTCAGCCAAATTTCTTTTATTATAAAAGTCAACTATATGTAGTCGATATTATGTGTTTGAAAATTATTGTTTACTAAGTTGCATGGCTCATGTCCAGTAAGTTCAAAAGTGTTGATGATTTATGATCACTATAATATCTGTAACCTAAGTAACCCCAGAAGTTTTCTCATAAACAGAATTTTTATTATTAAGATATCTTCAGTAAACAAATACGATTTAAAAATTTTCAAACTTGTACTAATTTGTAACTTAAATACATGACTTTTTTTCATTTAGATAAAGTGCATAGTGAAATTAACTTCGTTCTTTGCCTTTAAAATAATCGATTGTTTCGAAATACCTCTTACTTTCAGAGAAACAATTTAAAAATTGAATCATTGTTTTTAAATCCTTCGTTAAACACCGTTTTCCGTTAATCTTCTCGCTTTTGCTGAAATATAATTTGTCTTACAGCCAAAAATAACTTTAATTAAAGCGCATTTCTCTAGCAGTTTTGTAGGGAAAATCGATGTAATTCCTAACCGTAAAACAAAAGTTATTTAATTTGTAAAGGTTTAGTTTCACCATTTCGAAATCTGTAATATCTAAATTTTGTTCCATAATTTTAAGCTACATTTTCTCCTTTACACTAAAAAGGAAGCTTGAAATATGTATTAATTTTCAACATTTTTTTATTTAGTGCAGTATTGCAAAAGTGTAATTTTGTATTTCATAATTATTAAAGTATAAAAAATTAAAATATAACCTATGGCATGACATCAAATTAAAATTTTTTCTATTGATTCATTAGCTCTACTATCTGTAGCCGATTCTGGAAAAGGTTGAGATATAAATGGGAAAAATAATAGTGTTTGTGCATTTCAGATTAATTATGTAATTGTTTAAGAAATGAATGGATATTTGAGAAAATTATTGAAAACTGAAAACATGAGTATTTGTTAATCAGGTAATAATAGCTAAGAACAAATTAATTCTCATTTACATATTTTCTGTGTATTTTATGATATCTTGGAGTGGGGAAGGAGAACATAGAATAATTACTAGGGTAAAAAG